GTCACACATGGCAGCAGCATTTGCCTTGGCAATTTCCAACAACTGCTCCTTATCTGAGGAAACACAAAGAAATGATTAAATGGATGCAGACACTCTCTCTGCCTTTAAGACTAGACTTAAGACTTTCCTTTTTGATAAAGCTTATATTTATGGCTGGATCAGGTGACCCTGAGCCTTCCCTTAGTTATGCTGCTATAGGCCTAAGCTGCTGGGGGGGCCCATGATGCTCCTCACCTCCCCTCTCCTCTCTTCTCTCTCCATGCATGTATATGCCACCATTACATGTCACTAACCTCATGTCTCTTCTCACCTATAGTGTATCCCCTCTCTCTCCCTGTACCTTACTGCCGGTTGCCTTGGCTCTGGAGCTCTACGCTTTGATGAGCAGTGACTGCCCACATCAACCTGACCAGTGTTTGATTGTTGTGTCTTGTTGCCTTTCTTTTCTTTTCTCTCTCCTCTATCCACTCACCCCAGCCAGTTGAGGTAGAAGGCCGCCCACCAAGAGCCGGAGTTTGTTGGAGGTTTCTTCTATTAAGGGGAGTTTTTCCTCCCCGCTGTGCTGCTCAAGGAGGATTTGTTGGATTTTCCTCTATAATAATAGTGATCATAGTAAGGTCTAGACCTTACTTTGTAAAGTGTCCTGAGATGAATTTTGTTGTGATTTGGCACTATACAAATAAAATTTGAATTTGAATGTATTGATGTAACACTGGTCCTATTTTCAACAAGTTTCTTTGCACTGAACACATTAAAAACCTATTCACAACCAGTTTGTTGGAGGTTTCTTCTATTAAGGGGAGTTTTTCCTCCCCGCTGTGCTGCTCAAGGAGGATTTGTTGGATTTTCCTCTATAATAATAGTGATCATAGTAAGGTCTAGACCTTACTTTGTAAAGTGTCCTGAGATGAATTTTGTTGTGATTTGGCACTATACAAATAAAATTTGAATTTGAATGTATTGATGTAACACTGGTCCTATTTTCAACAAGTTTCTTTGCACTGAACACATTAAAAACCTATTCACAACCCAATTTCATTATTTCTATATAAAGTTTTCAGAAAGTCGAGCAGTTGCTATAGACGTATATAACCAGAAAATAAACAAAAGCAGTTTTTAAATCAAAACACTATTATAAACAAAACAAAAATGTAGTTACAATGAATGCTCACTAACATATAATTAATATTTGCAGTATATTCTTATATTGTAACTATAATTATCAAAATAATTTCTATAAAAAAAAATCCTTGGGTTTTAAAGGTCGGGTCTTTTTTTACATAAAAAAAACAAGATTTTGTGTAAAATTAAAGATTTGCTATATATTATTTTTTTTTTTTTAACAGCGTAACCTTAAATAACTGCAGCCAGAAATATGTACAGCAGCTCAACAATGGGCAAGTATTGTTAGACTAAAAAAACTAAAGGCATTGCTACCTAAAGCTACTTTAAAGCAGCAAAATTACAAGGACTTTGTCAAATATTCTAGTTGCCTATGAACAGTGATTGGTAAAAGTAATCACATTGTATTATGTTTCATTAACAAAATAGTGTGCTTGATTATGATTCACACCCACTGAGAAACAACTTGTTTCACATTTCTTCTTGGAATGTGGATGCATAAAAGCAGCTGTTGATTTTCCTATGCCTTTAAAAATAATAATACCAAAATGTGCATAAAAAGTAAACACTAGTTAGTGAATAGCATTTAAGTATGTGATTTCATATTATCTGACCCAGTTCACTGATGCGTTGAGGGCTGCTGCTCAAATTGTTGTGCTTCCGGGTAGGGGATCTATTTTTGCGGAGGATGAGTACAGGGGAGTGACTCGGCTCTCGTTTCCAGCGGTCCCTCTGGCTATATGTAGACCTCCTCCGACCCTGTGACACTGATCGTGACCGTGACCGCGACCTCCGTGTCCTCCGGCCCCCTGACCTGCATAGACAAAATGTTGGGGCAGTACTGAAGTACAATTTTGAAGTAGTTCTACTTAACTTGAGTATTTCCATTAAACTGTATGATACTTAGTTTTTACTCCACTAATTTTCATACTGAATTATTGTACAATTTACTCCACTACATTTATATGATAGATTTACTTAATGGCTACTTTGCAGATTCAAATTACAAACATATAATCAATCAACAAATTATGACATATTATTAAAGGTTTAAAATAAGACATTTTGATCCCTTGCAGGTTATCGACAAACTACTCAGTAGTATATAAATTAACTATAATTAGCTCCACCTTCACCAACTGCAACATTAAATAAATAGATTTTTTAAGAGGAGCTCATTTAATTAAACTTGTATATTGGCAGTATTTGCTTCCATATGGTGTCTGTATGAAGGACTGAGACATTGTCTTAGAAGAAACAAAATTTGAAAATTAAATTATTGATTTTGTTACAAATTTTGCTAGGATACAAAGATCAGAAGGAAGATCGTGATAAAGAAATAAACTTAGTCATTCTACCTCGACCGTGATTTCTTCCTTCTCGAACTGCTCCTGGATCTTGATCGCCTCCTGCGGCTCCCAAACAGTGACTTGGACTGTTTATGCCTCTTTGACAACTTTCCTTCTTTGTTCCTTGGTGGGGACTTTGATGGTTTCCTCTTCTTTTTTGCTTGTGATTTAACACTGGTGGCAGAGGACCTGGACTGACGGAAGCTGGGATCAGTGGTCGGGTAAGGGTGTGAAGATATGGACTGGTTCAGCATGGACTGGCATGGGCCATAACCTGCAGCTTTAACATTAGACAACAAAACACATTACATGGAGAAACCTTAAAGAACTGAACAAAGCTATTTGAAAAGTTTGTCTTATCCCTTTTCAAGCGAAAGAGAACCGGTTCGGGTCCTGTTTGTGAAAAAAGCTCTGAGCAGCTCGACCAAAAAACATTTTGACCCGGAACCTAGAATTTTGGTGTGCTCCAAGAATCAGATGCCTGTCAGATTCAAACTGGAAACATGACGACATCAGCGTCATGAGTGGGCAGGTACTACACCCACAACAGCAAGAAAGCAACACGGAGCAGAAGCAGCAGCAGCAGCATTAAAAACGACAACATGGATACGAAGTGTGCTGCCTGGTCATAGGTAGTTTGTGTGGATTAATGTGACTACCTCCATTGGAGAAACAAATCACTGCAAATATATCATGCAGTCCACCATCTTGCCAGTTGTCGCTGGTCTGTTTTTCCTCTGCACCATTTCTGGCAACATGGTGCTTGGTGGAAATGCAAGGGTTCACAATTGATCCTTGGTTCTGACAAAAATTGATTCGCGAATGGGAACAGAACCAGTTCTTAGTTGGTCAAAAAGGGTTCAGAAAGTATTCAGACCCCTTCACTTGTTGCACACTTTGTTTTAGATTTATTTTTAATGAATAAAATTATAAATATATACTCAATCAATAGAGACAAAGTTAAAATGTCTTCTTTTAGAGGTTTTTGTAAATATTAACAAAATCATCACATTACCCGTTGACTGACATTGCACCATAAACACACCATGCCTATCGTCATTGCAGCCTAAGACTGAAATACCAACAAATCTCGATCTTTTGACAAAGCAAGATATATACCAATTTTATTGTAGCGATTTTCTGACTTTAATTTTAACATAGTCTTTCTACTATAAAGCTGGAGTGTAAAATGCCAATAAACCTGTTTGATATCAGCAATAGCCTGCATATAAAGATGGACAATGTGACAGCTCCCAGAACTGAAGAACCAGGAGTTGCTCTGGTGGCTGGTTGCAACAGCTCATAAATCGCGCGCCCTCTATGTTAGCAGATGAGATGCGAGTCAAAATGAAAATGAAAAAGATCAAATCATATACATTTTTCCCAAATGCACTTTCTGCTATTTTAGTTACTTATTATCACATTGATGTGTGTACAAGTGGGTTTTTTTCTGGTAAGTGTTTTTAATAAGTTATTTGATGATATTAAAAAGAGGTGTATTTCAGATGATTTCACAGCTTTGATTGGCAGTCTGGATTCATCACTCCACTAGTCATTCACTATTGCGCAGAATCTGACTGCAAAATGCATCACAAACGCAAGATCCCAGCCCCTGTATTGACAATAGTTTGGAACCACTTTTGTATAGTGGCAGAAAGTGATGATGCATCATCCATTTTTACATATAGTCTATGATATCAGCAAATGACACCATGTATAATAAGGAGCACAACCTCAAACAGATCTTACCTAATTTTTGTGTTGTGTTCTGTGCTTTCTCCTCTTCTGTCTCTGCTGACTCTTCACACTGGTCAAGGCTCTGCAGCTCTGCTGTGCTTGACTCTGATAGCTCCTTGGCTTTAATGTTTCTTCCAGTAGGGCTGGAGGATAGCTGAGGTGGATGGAGGTTTTCTGAAGGGTCTTGGGTAGATTGAATGGATTCATTCAGAGCTTCCCTTTTCTCAGAGGATCTGACCATCAAACACATCAACCAAGTCATGGCAGGATAAAGCAACATCACAATGAGGAAGGCAGAATTATGAAGATCTCTAGGTTTATGTATCATTTAGGCAACCAGACTGCTGTTTTTCTCACAGTATTAAGCAGTATTGTGGGCAAAATATCACAATAATATCATATTGTGATTAACAATCATCTGTAGTGTCCACCTGAATGACATTGTGTGGGATACAGCCTTTTCTTTTTGGTATAGCACTGCCTTCTGAAACATTTGAAAGCATATTCTACAAGCTATTATCAAAAAAGAAGTCTAAGTTAAGACCAACAATAGCACTTTGTGAAAAAATACCTCATGTCTCCTTTCACTGAGTAAGGAGTACTGTATATGGAATGTCATCCAGCACTAATCTGCCATTCAAATAATGACACATTTCCTGCATCAAACTTTTAGCAGTACGGCCTAAAATATGAAAACTATTGTCAAATTTAGCTTTACTGTTCACTGTGCAGAGA